CTAGGAGAATGTCCAAATCTTCATGAATTTTTGCTCTTATTGCCCAGTAAAGAGAAATTGTTCTTTTGGCCTCAGTTTAGCAGGTGTGCGTTACTATCACTTTCACCAAGAACCGGTCGTTAGGCAAGTATGAGCAGCAGAGGGATTTTCTGTTTAACACTCTGCTGTTAGGAAAGTTTAGGCTGCTCAGTTGACATGTGTGAATATAGCGTCCATGTAATTTCTCAGGAGACAGGTAATGAATTTTCAGATACTGTGTGAAGCATTCTTTTCCCATTAGAGGAGTTTGTCACTCTGCTAGAAGTATTAACAAGCCAAGAGCTTTTTCCCTACATGCAAATCCATCTTTATGCCAACTCACAGAGACGAAGTCACCCCTAGGTCCTTCTAGGACAAGGGAAAGAATGAGCCTTCTCCAAGAGTGAGTCAGTGAGTGAGTCATCTGCGCACAGACCACCTCCGAAGGGTATCTTTTTCTTTTTGTCAACTCTTCAGAGAAGCCAGAGAGATCAGGAATGTACGATTGGATGTGGTTGAGCCTTTTTTTCCCCCTGATACTTTGATATCTAGTTTTCCTAGTTGCACAGTTGAGCAGACAGCATCCCTTTGTGGCAGCTCTTGGAGGAGTCGGTGATGGCGGGATTGGACTAGACAGGTGACAGACCGTTGAAAGATCTGTAGGGCCTTCCTGTGTATTGGACAATCCGGTGCACACGCTCTTGCTTTGAATGATTATACTCTGGCTGCATTGGTTTGTATCTGTTTTATTAATCTGATGACTGGAACAGTCATATTGTAATAAGTTCCTTTACCTAGTTGAAGTAGGTGGGACTCAACAGTACCTCACAAGCTGTAGCCTGTTTTTGGAGATCTGTAAAATAGAGTCAAGGAGGTCACTTTAAAGTCACCTTGATGGGTTAAGGATGGAGCAAATTATTTTTCTCAGACTCATTGCCTTCAATAAAACATAGTTCTCAGTAGAGGCTAGTTTTAAGCTTGTGTTTTTGTCAAGCATATATAAACTTGTGTTTAATTTAGTCACTATACTGCTGCTTGTTGTGCTTATGAAGCACTTTATTGTTGCTATTGTGATTCTAAATGGATTGGTAAATCTATACCAAATAATTCCCAGTGACAGAAAAAGAAATAATGAAATGTTAACAACAGGAGAGCTTGAAAGATCTAGATGTTAGCTGAGAAAAAATGAAAACCTAATCAGCCTTGATTAAACCTTTTAGATAAGAACATTTGGGAACGTTGTATCAGAATAAATTGTACTTACTCTAATCCTTCTATCAGCCAAGATTGAATCTTCTGCCAATAAGAAGCTCTTAGGACTGAATGCTTATACAAGTTGCCAGAGTCTGAAAAGGAAAATAAGTTAGTCTTACCAAAGCGTTACTGTCAGCTCTATAGCTGAGTGATGCATTGAGATCTTTACTTGATACAGGACTAACAGCCATGTGGTTCACTGTTTAATTTTATCTTGCTCTGTGGGCAAAGGAAAGGCTTCTACATCCAAACTTGTAAATCGAGTACTTTCCGTGGAGATTATTTTTACTACTCTAAAAATATATCACTGACATGAGTACCAAAGTTTCTAACCAGATCATTCTCTCAAAGCCTTTGGGTCATTTAGTCAAAAACTGGCTGACGTTGAAAAGATTGTTGACCTTAAATGAGGACCAAGAATGGGCTGAGATTATGATTTCTGTGTTGGCTTGTTGAGTACAACCCATTTTTCTACTTTTTTTTTTTCTGAAGCATCACTGCTAGAAAGCTTCTGGCAAAGTGAAATTGGCGGGTCAACCTTCTGGGAGCAGAAGCTCTTGCTCTGAGCTAGGCACTCGCCGATGTTGGTTAACTCTCCTTCCATGCATTCTTGTTTGAGATCCAAGGAGTCGCATGTTTGCCTTCCTACACGTCCTAAATTGTCATGGAACGTTCCTTAATTACCCTTAAGAGTCAACACAGGGTGCCAGCTGGCCTGGCCCCCCTTCTGACAGAAGTCAGGATTTTAGTATTTTAAAGCTAAGGTGACTGAGGGAGAGGGATACAGGCAAAAACACCAGCCAGTGGAGAAGATTTTTTTTTCATTACTTTACAGCTTTTTAAAAAATTGTGTCCTCCCATCCCAAGAGAAGGGAGATCAATTTTTCTACATTCCATAAAACTTGGAACATAAGATAGATTATTTTTAGTTTATTCCCTGGACACTGTGTAGGCTTCAGGCTTTGGAGCCGCTTCATTCCCCGCTCTAGCAGATGCAGGATTTATACAAGCTCCGGAGAAGAAAAGAAGGGAAGAAAAGAGAGAGAGAGAGAGATTCGAAACAAATCTCTCTCTCCTGTCTTCCCTCCTTTCTTCCCCTGTCTTCACTAACTGCTGTGCTACTCCTGCATTTTAACTGTTTCCTTCATTTCACCTTTTCCTGAACAGGAATTAACTTGTTTAAAACATTGAGAACAGAGGAAGGAGAGAGTTATTAGAGTTAATTTTAGGATGAGGGGGAATAAGGCAAAGGGAATAAGAGCCTGGGAGAAAAAGCAGCAAAACCTAGTCCCTAAGTAGCATGAGAGGCCGCGGCTGTAGCCGCAGGGTTAAAATATGGAGAAATACGCAAATTTATGAGTGAGACACGCACAGGGATAAGCCTAAGATTTCTGGCTTTCAGTAAGAAAGCAGCTGAGCTGGCTGCTCTGAGTGAAAGTAATGAGCTCAAAGGGTGATGTTTGGGAGCGATTACAGACAGTAAAAATGCCTGTGAGGAGATGACGACACTTGTAGGCACTCGTGGTGGCAGACTTCTGACAATTTCAAAACTCTTGGGCAGTTCCAGGTTGTTACTTTCAGAAATGGAGCTGATCCTCTTCCTTCCATCCCAAGCACTGGCCTGTCGTCTTTTCTAGAAACAGAATCCCAGGTCTAACGTTCAAAGTCCTGATCCTGTCTATATAAACCTGTATATGTCTGTATTTGTATATGTCTTGTGGGCAGGCCTGAAACATGTGCTTTTCAGGTGCCTAGCATCTTTCCTCTCTTTTTATTCCATCTTTATAGTATTTGAATGGTCAAATTTTAATTCTCAAGACAGAACACAACAGAATGTGCTTATTTTTCTTTCTCGGCAAGTGGGTAAGCAGGTTCTTTCTGTCATGCTTGTCTGTAGAAGTTGAAAGTGGAATTTGTTATCCTTATATTGTAAAGTTTTCATATGTTTATATATGTACAGAGACAAAAGAGTACAAATCTCATCGGGAGTGTTTAGATTTACAGTTAATAGTATAGAGCAGTTTTTCTATAAGTCAACACACAGGAATAAAGCACTCTGTGTACAGACATTTGACAAATATACCTGTTTTCTGAAGCGAGGAAATGTGCTGTAGGCATTAATAATGAAGCAATGTTGACCATAGCCATGGGAATTAGAGGTAGTGTGGCATTCATATTCAACCAACAATGTCTCACTTGTGTTTGGTATTTTAATTTGCTCAGGTGGATTTGCAGCTGCAATCACCACACCTCTAGATGTAGCGAAGACGAGAATTATGTTGGCAAAGGTAAGCGGTGGAGGGGGCCGACAGACAAGCGGGTGAATGGCTTGTGCAGTTTCAGAGTTTCTGTATGGTCACAACAGAATGAAATCCAGCACCTATTAATAATGACTTCTGCTCTTGTTCTCAAAGACGGGATTAGATGTAAACAGAAACTGCACACAGATCTAATGAAATTGTTGTGCTCCTTTCCTTGAATTGCTTTTCTCGTCATTTCCCAGAGGAGCTGTCTGAGCAGGGCCTGCACTTGTGCTAGACTCTAGACTTCTGGAGTCTCATGCAGTGTCTTTAGGAGAAAATTCTGATGGAGTGAGATGCCCAAAGTTAAACATTCCACCAGGGATTTATTCCTCTGTTGTTTTTGCTAATAGTTGGGATTGTGTGTGTGTCTTTCCCAAGGAGGGCTTGGCACTAGATTTTCTGTCCTAAAATTTCAAGCTACAGATATCATAGTGGCATAGTTCTGCCAACCGGGACAGAAGGAAAATTGCTTGTAGGAATATCCAGTAGCATTCCCATCATTATCTTGCTGATTCACAGCAAAGCTAACCAGTCACATAGCAGAAAACCTTCAGCAGATGAATATTCCTAAAACGTTTCCCTGCCCTGAAAAGACCTGTTGTGGTCGCAGAGGTCAGGCATCCTGAAGTTTCTGTGTGCAGTTTTTGCCCTATTACTCACGTCCTTCAGCGAAGGGATGTTTCTTGTTGATGATATGCACCTCCTCAGCTGAGTCAGGCTCGTCCGTGCCCACTATGTCGATATTATGTTGTGCGTCTCATTGATGGGTGTTGTATCTGGTGCAGCTTCTTTGCCTTTGGATGGTGTGTGTGATACCGTTGTAAGAACTGGGTTTCGTTTATGTCTGCTGCTCTCCTGAGAAACTGTGTCAGCATGGGTAAGGGAATGATGGTGCTTTGAGATATTCTGAGAACCTTCAAACAGCATCTTTGTGTTAGTCATCTCACGCTAACTAGATCACACACGTAATCTAATAGTCTGTAGTCCTGCTGTTTGGCCTGTTTTCCACTCAGGGTAATTTTCACTTGCAATACACTGCTTGTGGTTTTTTTTTTTTAAACCCTTATTTGTAATTTGTATTTTTTTAGTAAATCTCAAGGCTGCTGTCCATCGCGTTTTGAAGTCAGTGAGCAGAAAAGTCTCTTGTTGATGCTTTGAGAATGTGTTTTTATTAATGTCTTACTCCTGTGTCAGCTGCTGGACATAGAGCAGTCTAGTGCAAAAGAGGTGGGAGCCGCAGTTCTGTAACTAATCAGCTCTGTGAGCTTGGAGCGATTGTTTTATTGTTCTGTGCCTCGATTTCCCTTTCTCTTTTGCCTCATTTTTGGAGACAATGAGCTTTGCCTATGCCTGGGGTAAGGAGACTGATTAGGACTTCTGGAAGTGCTGTAATGTAGCAGTAACCAGGAGCAGGGAGCTCAGTACATAAAGCTCAGTAAACCTCTTTGGCAACAGTTTTCCACAGCGAATGTCTCTCTGTTTTTGTGGTGCAGGCTGGTTCCACCAATGCAAGCGGGAATGTTCTGGCTGCTCTCGGTGGCATCTGGAGGACACAAGGCCTGTCGGGGTAAGAACGTGCTGAAGGGCACATTTCAGGTGCTTGCATCTCCAGGTGTGTTTAGGGTGCAGGAGAGGATGGGATGGTCTAATTAAGTCCTGTTATACAGAGAAGATTTTAATTGCTGTACACAGAGCCAGGGAGCAGCTCTCAGGTAGCTAAGGACAACTGTTCTGGGTCAGACTGAAGGTCCCTCTAGCCTGGTAGCATGTCTCTAGCACTGACCGCGAGCAATGCCCAGGAAAGAGTATAGGAACAGGGCCAAACATATAGTCTATACTTCCGCAATATAATCTCTAGGATTAGCTCCAGACTTCAGAGCCAAAGGAGGTGGATTTGCGTTTAACCCATAATGGACTTTTTTCCAAGCACGTGTGCATTTGTTCTGCATCCTCCATTTAAATTTCTGGCATGCACAATATCCTGTGGCAGCGAGTACCACAGTTTCACCTTGAGATGTGTGCATCACCCTTCCTGAGACATCAGGGAAGGCCAACATGGCAGCCACGTCTCCATTATGAACAACCTTTTCCTTTTGGCAATTTCCTACTGACTTTGAAAACACCAGCCAGGTGTCCTCTGTTCCTCTATATTTTCCATTCTTATTAAGAAGCATGACAGGAGCAAGAGCTGCCAACATGGTGTCAGCAGTAGAGACAAGCTGAAGCCAAAGGAAGGAGACCCGAGGGAGCAGTGGTAGGATTTTGCAGGTTTGCATCCCCTCCCTGGAGTACTGCGTTTCTGTGCAGCACGGAGCTGCATGAGGCTGCGTGCCTGGAGCACTCCCCACCTGGCATCTCCTGGCACTAAGCCCAGCACCAGCAAGAGAAACGCCTCTGAGTGCAGAGGCTGAGTGTGCAGGAAAGATGAGGGCAGCGGGTCCGGCAGTGTGTGCTGTCTGGCTTGTCCTTCGAGCCTCCCGTCTAATCGGGGGCTTTAGAAGGCTGATTGGGGCTGGTGGCTCTGATGGTGATGGCTGAGCTTCAGCTCTAGGTGAGCCATGCTCTGTGGCCTGGCAGAAGTGACTGCATGAGAGAGCACTTGCATTACACAATCTCCGTACCTCCTCTGTAATCTTGGATGCGTGAGCACACATAAGCACTTGCCTGCTTGGATTTCTCCAGTAAGGCGCTTATTACAAAAACACAAGTTTTCTGAAAACAGGCTTGAGCTCAGAGCGACGTTCTGAGCAGCCACAGAGCAGCTCTCCAACTGCTTTCCTGCTGTGATTGAGGTGTAAAGATGCTGCTCTGGGCTTTCTTCTGACCGGTCAGGGAAGGCTGGGGTGATATCAATCCAGTCTCTTAGCTGCCTCACTTTGCACATTCCTAAGACTGAGAATTGCTCTTCTGACCTTGGAGCGGTGTTGTGAAAAAAACGTCCTTTGCTAGCTTTTGTAGAACATTTTGAGAGCTTTTGAAAAAGGTGTCGCAGGCCTATAAATTATTATTGGTTTTTTATGGACACCTGCTCCATTTATATTACCGTGCCCTATTTGAGTGTGTGAGTCATACTGGTTAGTGGCCCCTCCTAATGCTGATACAGAGTATACGTCCTTAACAACTGCAGCCAACTTAGGCTGCTTCAGTCCATGAGTAAGGCCTGTGCTTCTATCAGTAGGGCCTGTCCCACCTGCCCCAGACCTGGAGGAGAAATGAAATATTTCTGCAACTTTTACTTGGGGCTTTTTGTTATAACGTCTCCTAGGTTTTTAAACGGCCTGATGTGGCCGATGCTTTCAGGGTGCCATTTTAACATTTGTAAACTGTTGCTGGAAGCAGCATGTAGTTTTCAGCTTTGCGGAAGATAGTTTTCGGTTAACATCTGAGCTCTGCTCACACAACTAATAAAAGTTCAATACTCTTCTTATACATGTGGAAAATAATTCAAAACAAATTGCAGGAAGTTCGTGGACACTTATTCCAGGAAGCATCCAGCTGCTGTGCCCCCACCAGGCTGCTTTTATAGCTGTGTTGACAAGGCTTGCTATTCAAGACGGTGAGGTGACCCATCTGCAGACTGGTCCAGGTCCTACAGTGCTCCGTGGGCTCTAGGGCATGTTCTCAGGGAGACTAGGAAAAGTAAGGCAACTTCTACTGCTGCTGAGTTAAGTGTTGAAGGAGTTTAACAGGCGTCCTGG